TGTTGCCTTTCAATGTCTAGGTACATACCACCGGTTTAGGGGCGTCCCAAAATGTAGCTTACATTTTTGGAGGTTCCGTTTTCTTAACGCCTCTCTGCGCTTTCCCTTTTTTCCTGCAGACCTTTCTTCCTTCTCTTCCCGTTCTTTTCTGTTTTTCTTTCCTCTTCTTAGATATGAGTGGGCCCTAGGGCCATTATATACCCGCTTCCTGATGGAGCCGCTCATGAGAATCTGCTGCTGCATTCTACTGCTGGATTCTGTCTTCTATTTATATGTTCCTCCCCTCTCCCCTCTCAGTTGACATTTGACCGTAGAGTCCTTGCATGGAAACGTTATTGGCTGCTTTTCCCGGATGCATCTTTAGTTTTGTAGTTTTCATATGTTGCCTTTCAATGTCTAGGTACATACCAACGGTTTAGGGGCGTCCCAAAATGTAGCTTACATTTTTGGAGGTTCCGGTTTCTTAACGCCGTTCCGCGTTTTCCCCTTTTTCCTCTAGACCTTTCTTTCTTCTCTTCATGTTTTTCTCTATTTTTTTAAAATGCATTTCTGTGTTTTCCCCTTTTTCCTCTAGACCTTTCTTTCTTCTCTTCATGCTTTTCTCTATTTTTAAAATGCATTTCTGTGTTTTCCCCTTTTTCCTCTAGACCTTTCTTCCTTTTCTTCATGTTTTTCCTGTGTTTCGCAACACGTCTCTTCGAGCCACTCCCGAAGAGATCCACGACCCCCCCCCCTCTCGTCGGGTGGGTCGACGACGCTCGTACGACCCCCCCCCCCGCCCCCTCGTCGGGTGGACGACAGTCGCACGACCCCCCCCCACCCCCAAAGCATGTTTCAAACGTTTCCTGCAAAGGGTTCTCAAAACCAAGAAATGGGAGGGACCTGTCTAAATGTAAGCTACATTTCTTAGACCCCCCCCCTCCCCCCCGAAAAACATTGAAAAATGTAGCTTACATTTAGACAGGTCCCCCCTCCGGTTTTGTAGAGATAGGGGGTGGGGATATAGTATGTGCATAATGAATAATCACAAATATTCAGCGCCCGCTACCATCCCACCATGATGGTGTGTGTGGCCGAGCGATGCGGAGCTGACTGGCCATGGGGCAGAAGTTTTGGCGGATCCAATCCTTGCTCGTGACGAAGGAACAGTTCGCCGATGCCTGGCGGTGTGCGTCACGCTTGGCCGAAAACAGTGGTCCACCTGATTGGGATCTAATCTACGGATGCCACCGGAAAACACGCAGCATTAAAAGCATCTCAGAATGCCTCCTCGTCCCCATGTCCGATCTCGTTTGGCTTGCAGAAAAGGTGCCGGATCGTTGCCCACCGACATCATGGGGTTGTCCTCGACTTACAGGGGATCATCATGATCTTCACATGTGCATCTGAAGCCACGCATCAAAAAAATCTCGCAACCTGTCTTTCTTGGGCGTGTCTCAAAAA